GCCGGTGCTGCCAGCGAAGGCCAGTTCCAGAGAATCATTCAATTTAATGCGCCAACGGAGTGCTAGACAAAGCCATATATATCTGAGAGAGGCTCTTCGACAAAACACCAACTGAATTTAGAACCACAACAAATTTCATTGGCCTGGAGTCAGCAGGGATGAAGGTGTCAGACCGAGGTCCAAACGAACCTTTTTTCTCGAGAGCTTACTATATGAGGTGGTTTCTGGCGCTCCTTTCAAATCTATAAATAACAGAGACCGTAAAATACATGCTCCATGGACTTTGTATAGGTCAGATTGGGTCACAGACCTAAAATGATCACGGCCAACATTTTGGTTTTAGGAACACACGACTCGGCGTGATCCCTAACGCTCGTTTCAATGGCAAAATAGCAGCAATCTCGTAATTTTTGTCACTTAACCTTTTTCAAGATAACAAAGGGTTGCTGATCTTAAAAACACCATTGAACTTTTGCTTAGAACAGCTATCTGAGTTCACGGTGGTTGCATGAAGAGGTCTGAGGGACTTTGGACACCCACCTTGAGTTTGACCTTGTTTGACCTTATTGAACCCTAGATCACAGCCTAAAAACGCCAAATTACGACATAACTGAGTTTATATGCAGGCAAAGCCACCCCATGAATTTGGTGATACTGGCTGTCTTAGTTTCCGAGATCTCAGGGGGTCAAATTGCCCCCCACATGAGCGAAGGGTGTTTAACCGGCCACCCGGGCGCGTGTTCAGGATGTGCATGTAACGTCCTGCGTATTTTCGGGCTTTTTGTCAGACGGGCTCACCATAAGTCTACCCACGAGCCATGCTGTCATTACACCTACGCTATCACTGACGATGCATGTACGGCGCCTTTGCTCGCAATGCCATTCGGCAGAGTGGCGTTGTGAACTTTCCCAATAAGCTTTACAGCTAAAATGGAAAACTTTTCACACATAACCCCAAAACAACGCCGAAAGTAACCATAAAACTCATCCAGTTGCAGCTGCAGCCATCTCCATGTTTCGGGGGTGAGTACCTTGAAGTCGATCTCTTCCCGTCTGGCCTCCATGGCCTTGAAGAGGTCATTGAGGGCGCGCACCATGATGCCCGGCTGCTCAGGAGTGCCGACCATGGTGTACGTCTTGCCGGCGCCTGCCGATCCACATGTGCTAACTGTCACGCCTGTCAGTCCGCACGTGCTAACTGTCACGCCTGCCAGTCCACATGTGCTAACTGTCACGCCTGTCAGTCCGCACGTGCTAACTGTCACGCCTGTCAGTCCGCATGTGCTAACTGTCACGCCTGTCAGTCCGCACGTGCTAACTGTCACGCCTGTCAGTCCGCACGTGCTAACTGTCACGCCTGTCAGTCCGCACGTGCTAACTGTCACGCCTGTCAGTCCACACGTGCTAACTGTCACGCCTGTCAGTCCACATGTGCTAACTGTCACGCCTGTCAGTCCGCACGTGCTAACTGTCACGCCTGCCAGTCCACACGTGCTAACTGTCACGCCTGTCAGTCCGCACGTGCTAACTGTCACGCCTGCCAGTCCACACGTGCTAACTGTCACGCCTGTCTGTCCGCACGTGCTAACCGTGACGCCTGTCAACGCACACGTACCAACCGCGACGGTTGCCAGCGCACACATACCAACCGTGACGTCTGTCAACGCACACGTACCAACCGCGACGGTTGCCAGCGCACACATACCAACCGTGATGTCTGTCAACGCACACGTACCAACCGCGACGGTTGCCAGCGCACGCATACCAGCCGTGACGTCTGTCAACGCACACGTACCAACCGCGACGGTTGCCAGCGCACACATACCAACCGCCACGCCTGTCAACGCACACATACCAGCCGCCACACCTGTCAACCCATATGTTCCAACCGCGACGCCTGGCCGCCCGCTGGCCGTTTGCAGCTATTATCAGTCCGTTGAATGTCGTTGATACTGTTATCTGTTACGTGTCGTAACTATGTGTAGTATACCTGGTGCACTTGCTGCAATGAGCGTGTAATTATGATCACTTCATGCCATATAATGCCATTTATCATGGCGTGACGAAGTTTGATGACCAGCGTTCGTGTAGAATCAGTGATCCAACGTGGACAGTGGCAATTGCATATGAGCATATCTGAAGATGATTTCAATGATAAGGACAAGCTAGCGCAATATAGTGGCACATGCCTTAAAATACCTTTCGTGACAAGGCACGCGTATTCATATAATTCATATTGCGAGCAATACGCGTGCGTTAACCCTGTCACGACCCGTCCAGTTTGTCCCAGTGCTCACCTGTGGGGCCATAGGCGAACACTGTGGCGTTGAAGCCCTGCAGTACGTCATCTACCAGCCCCCGGGTGGTACGCTCGTACAGCTCTTTCTGCAACACAACCGGTAGAGCTGGTCAGTGCGGGGCAGGCTTTGCGCCGAAACAGTGACCTGGCAGATTGTTGCCATCTGGATGGTTTGTGAGAGTGAAATCCCGGCTCCCCCGTTGTTAGGGTACATGCAGGTGTTCTCCAGCATTACATGGCTCGGCATCTTCAGACCTGTGCTATATGAACTTGAGATGGATGAGGAAATGTTTTAATCTTGTTCTAAAAATCCCTCTTGAAGATGCGACGCCAGATCAAATAAATCCGCAAACAAAGCCTCCCCCTGCGTCCTTACCAACAAGTCATCAGCCCGTTGTCATGTGGACATCACATCAGTCTGGTATCGGCCATTTGGGTGGTAGGAATATCGATATTGTTTTCATGCTATTACATCCCTGGCTCGGGCTTCTCTGCCCCTTGCTCCTCCTCTTGTTCGAAATCAGCCAATCAGTACTGAACCGGGCGGCGGTCAGCCCAGATTCTGAGCGCCCCAGGCTTGCCAGTTGGGCCTGACAGGTCAGATGGCTGGGGTCAGGGTCAAGGGGCAACGGATAAGCACCGACGGATTGTGTGCGGGGGCCGCCGGAGGACCAGGGTTCTGGTAGCACCACGTCCTGCACATCCCGCTGGATGAATTTTGGAACGCTGGGATATCAGGTTATGTAACATGAAGCTAGAGTGAATCGATAAATGTGCGTAAATAACCACATTTCACACAAGTAGCCCAATATGCATACACATAAAATGCAAACACGGCACGAGGATTAACTAACTCAGCCGGCGCCTTAGCCATAGAGTGAACACTGCGAAAGTGCCATTGATGTTTTCTGTCATATTGGGTCATCTGAGGTCACCAAAGCGTCATTGGCAAGACCACCAAGCTACAGCTAAGCAACCTTCCACTTTATCCCATCGGAACTGGCCAGGGCGAGCAAATCAAAGGCGCATACTCACGAAGACATGACCTTAAGCAGAAGGCCAAAAGCACATATCATGAGTATGTAACTGCTACGCTTCAAATTAATTCCAAAAATGACATACTGAACATGACAGCGTAGGCACCTACTGGATATATCGGCAATATCGGCCATATTCCCAAACAGGTGGTCAGGCGGGGTGCGAGTGAGCATACAGCTGTAAGAAGCCGGCCATCGCTGCTGCAATGGGCGGCGTGGCGCGGCGCCTGCTTCGAGGCCTGCTCGGCCCGCCGGTCTGTGACCGTGGCTTGAGCGCCGGTAACACCGCATACAGCTGTAAGAAGCTGGCCATCGCTGCTGCAATGGGCGGCGTGGCGCGGCGCCTGCTTCGAGGCCTGCTCGGCCCGCCGGTCTGTGACCGTGGCTTGAGCGCCGGTGACACCGCATACAGCTGTAAGAAGCCGGCCATCGCTGCTGCAATGGGCGGCGTGGCGCGGCGCCTGCTTCGAGGCCTGCTCGGCCCGCCGGTCTGTGACCGTGGCTTGAGCGCCGCTAACACCGCATACAGCTGTAAGAAGCCGGCCATCGCTGCTGCAATGGGCGGCGTGGCGCGGCGCCTGCTTCGAGGCCTGCTCGGCCCGCCGGTCTGTGACCGTGGCTTGAGCGCCGCTAACACCGCTGCTCGCAGACGTGCGTCCGAGTAAGGTTAAACGCGGGCTCGAATCTGGACTCCGGGTACTCAGGCTCAAGGGAATATATTTTCCTTGCAGAGAAATGATATTCAGACTCTGGCACCTGCGTGCGAGAAAAGGAAGGATTTGGAGGGCTCAAATCAGAAAGTATTGGCTCAGATCAGAGAGATTTAGTTCATTGGGAAGACGTTACGTAAACCTCTGGCTAATCAGCGGCGGCTCATGGTGAGGCCGAGCAGAGGTCAGGCAGGGGGCGCGAACGAGGGGTCAGTCGGGTCCTAGCTCCCGACTGACGACAGTCGAGTCCTAGCTCCCGACTGACGACAGTCGGATCCTAGCTCCGGAATGACCAGATAAGCGATACATGTGTGTCCCCGTCCCCCTTTTGAGCCGCTGGAAGCGGCAAAAGGGTTGGTGCCCTATCTCACCTACGGCCGACGGCTCGGGCCACTCCCCGAGGGCCACAATCATATCCTACTACCAAGCCCCACTGAAGGCTCAATGACAATGAGCTCCGCTGCCGCCCCGGGAGATGTGCATGCATACTGATATTGGGCTTGTGAAATAGCAGTGTGGTTGGAGTGAGTTGGAGCGGTCCCCAGAATAACGTGGGTGAATTAGAGCGGTGTCTGGCATAACAGTTTTAATGCAATGTCACCTTGCTTTTACGCCTCTTCCTTGCATTTTTCGGGTTGCTATAACTTTGTATCTGACCATCTCTAGCCCTGGCAATGTGACATGAACAATATTTTTGTCTTGGGTGACCTCGTGTGGAGCTGATCAGCTTTCAGCTCCGGGACTACCGGCTCATACACAGACTCGGACGAGGACCAGTCTGGGATGACCCGGGTCTATGGCTCCATCGCCGAAGGTCAAGCTCCGACCTGGAACCACTAGTCGTGGGCGTGACCGTACTCGGCCTCGGACTCGTGCTGTATGTCAGGGTCAGACCCGCGACGCCAGGACTCGCGCTTCGGATTCTGGACTCGGATTCATGCTCGGCTGGTTGATGAATTGACACGTGGTTGCCGCATGACCAAAAGATCAGGAACGCCCGCAAGAGGGAATCATGCTGTACCCCTGCCTTCAGCAAAAGCAAGGGTTCCTCACACTGGGCCTATGGCATTGAAACAAGAATTTTCGTAGAGCGCCTTGTTTCTCACTGTTCATTACAGCATGCCAAAACGTCCAGTGACACAAAGCGGCCAACAAGCGACAAGGCACCTGCATCTCAAGTAGTTCACTTCAGAGCCTCTGAGCCTGTGAATATCTCTCAGGGCGGCCAAGCGCTGGAACCGACCCACACCGAGCTCGCGGTGCTTTCTCGGCAGGCCGTGCACCCGTGCCGTGATGACGGCCGGCGGCGGCACATCAAGCATTCCCCCTGTGCCGTGATACCGACCAGCCGTGGGCACATTAGGTATCCCCCCCCCCCCCCAGGGTAAGTGTAGGCATACATTTTCTCACTTTCTTCTTCGCGCGCCATCCGTGCGGGATCGGTGAAGCTTGCCCAGAGGAACGTGGGACGGCGAGCAAGCCGGCAGTGGCCAGGAATTCCACCAGCCCAACTACCCAGCGGAGCTTGGGACGGCGAGCAAGCCGGCCCTGGCCAGGAATTCCACCCGCCCAACCCAACACGACCATGAGGTCGAGCGGGGCCTGAGAGCTAAACGCGGACCCGTCCGACGCTCCGGCCGATCAGCCCACAGTGTTGACCGGATCTTCATGGAATACGGTGTGTGTCGCCCGGCCAGGTGGGGTAAGCCGCCGTTTTCCCTGGCGGAACGGCTATGACGGTGACCTCTTCTACCGAAATGGACCATCACGCCACAGGAGAACGCCTACCCTCCGCAGACCGATCAAGACTAATGGACGCGAAAGTTAGATCTCCGGCGACGCAACATGCGTATAGGAATGTTTAACTACCATGCTGTGAGGATGTTTGCCGCTTCAACCCAAGAACCCCGCCGCCCCGGCGCCGCCATCACCCCAGCCGGCGTTAGACGCGCCACGCCGCGTGGGAACTGGGCCACAGGGGTGCGCGTAGGGCCCGCCCAAGGCGCGAGCGGGCGGGCCCTGGGACGGCCCGCCCGACTCCTTGCGTCGTCGCCAGAGACACCACGCTCGAGATCTGGCCCACGGGCACGTTGGCGCCGGACTCAGCGGAAGCAGCGCTGGCCGGTCTGGTGACACATTGGACGGAGGAGGAAAGGCGGCAAATTTATCGGTTTATGCGCAAAAGCGAAGGCGGGCTGATCGAGTTGAAAGATTCATGGAAAATTATAAATCATGCAAGAGGCCTAAACAGGGGTCTTTCGAGGGAGCCCCGAAGAGGTGCTGAAAGAGAGAGAGGGAGGGGTTTTTCGAGGGGGGTCCCGAGGAGGCGCTGGAGGAGAGAGGAGTCTCCCGGAGTATCCCAAGGAGTGAGGAGCGCGGAAGAAAAGTGGTGGTGACAGTCGGGAGGCGACATCTGGCTCCGCGGACGACACGACACCGGCGACAACATGCACGTATGAGTCCACAGGCTGTTGTCCCAATTCCTCCCGGGCCATGGACGGCTGGCGCTCCCGTGCCCCTTGACCCATCCCTACCGGGCAGGCGCAGGCCACGGCCACCTCTTCTCTTCCGCACAGTTAAGGAGCGTGGAGGGCACTGGCCATGCGACCCTCCCGGCCGGACAATGTATCTCGGGCGCGCTCCCATCATTAAAGAGAGGGGGGAGGCATGACGTGTCACGTGACGAGTCTATGCCTTAGTGATGTTCTTTTTTGGTAAACGCCGGTGTCAGTCCGCGTTTTAAATGATTTAGCGTGGAGGCGAGGCTGGAAGTGATTCGGCCAGGCGGTGACAGGGCACTCGCGCCCGGCGTGGCTGAGCATGGTGTCCGAGGCGCATGGCGCGCGCTTCGGCGCGACGGCTCGCCCATTAGCCTGCGCCGGGGCTACCTAGATTTTTGCCGTTGGAGGCGGCCACGTGGAGCCGCAGCGCCTGTCTCGCGGCCCTCGCTCTCCCGCGTCGCGACTAGGAGCGGCGTATGGGCCACCCCTACATGTTCCTGAAGGTGTCCTTTGATTATGGTGTAAATTAGTGGAGCGGTTTGTTTTTCTTACATTCGTTTAAATAGAGTTTTTCCTAAGCAATCGATGAGGTCAATTTCCGCCGGGCTGTCAGACCTTTGTTCGATACGCAACACGCCGTTCTCTCCCGAAGATCGAATAGTATAGCGACCGAAACCAAAGGATGACAGGTGCGGAACGCGCCCGAGCAGCACGGCGCGACTAGGGCAGGGCTGAGAAGCCAGACGACCGCCGTCCTGCTTTTACGTAGGTGTGCGTTTGTGGGGAGACTGGACTCAAAGGCACGGTCTCGCTTTTTTACTAAGAGACGGTTGACCCGTTTTGGTGTTTCTCGCTTGACCCTGGGCGTGACGGCATAAGGAGGCATAGGTCATAGTATGACCCAGGGCCAGTGGGGGCCGCCTGGGATGCCGGATTATGCACGGCGGTAGCTGGATCTATCTGTTGGTGTACCATGTCTTGGGAGAGAGCAAGACACAGCCTGCTCTTTTCCGAGGTTGTATATGCCAGACCTTATGAGCGCTTGATGGGGGTATGTTTGGGACGGATAGAGATCCCGTCATCGACGCCCATAGGAAGGGCGGCGAGGAACCAGGTCGCAGACCAGGCCGGTCAGGCCGAGTCTCCAGAGCCGGCCGAGGAGACCGCGAAGCGTGAACGCAGGTCACACCGGGCGTTCGTCTGCTGAGGGGCTCCATCGTCACATCGGGCGCGCTGTCTGCCTCCAGGCCTCTGAGGGACGCGCCGTGGGGCGGTGCCCTGCAAATCTCGCTCCGGCAGGCGGGAGGCGAGGGCGCGGAGGCGACGCCTCCGCGCTGGACGACGGGCTGCCTAAGGCTCGTGCGCGGCAGCGGGTGGCTGTGAAGGGTGGGCGTGGCCAAATGAATGATGGGACGCCCTCCGTGGACGGAACGCGGGAAGCGTCGTCGGAGCAGGGAGCAGTCACCCCGGAGGTGAGGCGAGGGAGCGAGTCGCCGTCCAGCTTCGGACACCTGATGTCGGCCCAGTAGCCGAGTCGGTGCCGAGATGACAGGCTAGCATTATACATTCGAAATAAGGCTTAAACGTGGCTTTATTGAATGTCTAAAATGTGATAAACGCATTTCAGTTAGCTTAACGAGGACTCGCGCAGACGAGCTAAATATATGCGCTGGATATGCGCTGGATAAAAGGGAGTCCCTATTCGCTAGCGAACCAAGAATGAGTGGGGTGACGTGGGCGCCAGCGCATGCGTATGCTTTAAGTGAGTGTGGTGGGGCGCCGAATGCATGGAGTCTGCGGGGATACGTTAAGGCCGAAGGGGCTCTCAGGGTTGTTATCCAGCGGGCTCTTGTCAATGTAATTCGCCAGTTGCGCGGGACCCTTGCCAGTTCGGCGCATTATGAGTGCATCCAGTTCCGTTTTTGCCCAGTTTAAATATGATCATAAGCTAAAAAGGTGGAGGTGGGGAATCGCGGGTAAGGGCGCACAGCCGTGTGCGGGGAAACAGCGGTTCATAGGCCATGACCGGTCCCACCAGCCGCCAATGATCCGGTCACCCACTTCATCCTAGCTCTCTGGCTCACATGAGTGTGTGTTGATGTTGGGTGTACCAGAGTCACAACATGCCGCGTCGTGCGATAAAACCATCTGGCTCGTATGCTGACCAATGGGCTCCTCAGTACAAATTCGCTCCTGCGTGGGGGGGGGGGGGAGGCGTGGCCGCAGCAGCCGGGGACGCACAAACATCCAGCAGCGGCCAGGTAGCAGCGCAGCGCAGCTCCCTCCCCCCTCGCGCACACCTTAGCAACATTGGGCTGGCCGGAAAACACACGCAGGTGATTATTGCCGCCAAGGCGTGGGCGGCGCTCGCCGGCTGTTCATCGATGGTCCCCGTTCAGCTATCATCACGAGGGCAATACATCGCCAGCTGGGAGCATACTGCGGTCCGGCGCAGGCGGCCCTCGCGGAGCAAATGGAACGGGTTCCATCGCCGGCCTAATGGAACGGGTTCCATCGCCGGCCCCATAGCGCGACGTTTGCTGGGGCCATAAGACACCTGCAACCAATCAAACAGAAAACAGGACACTCTTTGCCGGGGTCTTTATCTGCTGCACTCATGCGGAGATGAGGGTCATTTTTGGGAGCTGTTGGGGTCCGGTCGTCTCACCGGACCACTTGCGAAACGGACGGACGACCACTTCTTACGAGAATCCTGTGAGCGAGCTTAGAAGAGCGTGCAAGTATGTGCAACCTATTGACGCTCTCTTCTGCAACTTGCTGCCCATCATGCTTGGTTCCAAACACATTACGAGCGGCTGTTAATCCCCGTTGCAGGAGCTAGATCATAAAAGTTACCCTTCCCCCAGGCGAGTTTTCGTCTAAAGACAATAAATCACCGAAGAAATTCGAAAGACGTTAAAACAAACATATTAAGAGGATTACTCCTCATTTGTATGGGGCTTTGAACTGAAATAGCATTCCTGAAGATCAATCATTACGTGCAGTTCACAGTCCTGCTCTTCCCAAGACCTAAGCCCCATTAGTTTCTGAACAACACGCCCGCAAGATGTGCGTACTAATTCGGGGAGACTATTTCAAGGACACTCAGACATCCATGACGCCATAATAACCTCATTCAAATCCTGACATTCCATTGGTCACACGGTGATCAGGCAGAAAAAAATAATTGCCGAGTCGTTCATATCTGGCGTTCGTGAGCACTGTTTCCAGATATAACGGCCGTCGATTGGCTCTGGGTCAGTGCCGTGCAAGGTATGATGACTTAATCAACCATGACGTATTGAGGAGCTTGAGTACGAAACAGAGAAGTTGTGTTGCCCAGAACAGTCTTTTCCACTTAAAAGGATGCCAATAGGTATAAGTGAGCTAATGTTGTCATGTCTGATATTTGCTTCAGTATGGTAAAATGTGGAACATTCCCTTTAAATAGTGAGTTGCCGTGGTCAATGTGTTTTGACGAAACCACAATACACTTTCTATATATGTAGGTGCCTGCTTTTATGAGCAGGAGCAGTCAGTGGCCTCGTGGTCAAGTAACACAGTTAAGTGTCTCAAACGGGGGCATCGATCCTAATTCAAGCCACTTGGTGGCATGCAAGGCGATTATCTTTCGATCGGTGTTGAGCAAAGCCGGGTCACGGAACTTCATGTGAGCTCTAAATCCCATTGTAAATATCTAGGAAGTGGTAGCGCAACGTCCTATGCCACACTAGATTAATAGGCAGCCATTCCACAAAACGTGTTCCGTATCGCTGGATAATGATCTGACCTACTTTCGGTTGGATATAGGGCATCAAAACAGCTCTGTTTTGGGCCTCATATTGACATGACTTGGCTCTCAGATGTTTACATTTCTTTGTTCGTAAAAACGGGCCAGTCCTGTTGACGTTAGCGTGAATTTGCATCAAAGCTGTGACAATGCAGGTGATGCACTAATGCATGGTGGCAACTAACCTGGGTCGAATGCTCTCCAAACGCCATGTCGTAGACAAATTGTTTTTCGTGGCGACGCTTCTGACGAAGCACGTCTTTCTTGTCCCCGTCATTTTCCTGCAGTGTAATCATCTGAAACACAGAATAGACAGGAGCTAAATGTACTCGGTTCGTTAAGTGCGGTGTATTTAGAATAGGCCACTTTCTTCCTTTGTAAATACTACGGCCAAGCACACAGATTAAGAAGCTCTCACCCATTTCCCAAAGGTGAGCAGCTTTACCTTTGGCTCAATGTCATCACACGTGGACGGCCAGCCAGTCAGCAGCGGCCACCGGCAACCCGGCAAATCGACAATTTGTGATTCACAACAGGAGACCTTTCGCCAGGTGCACGGAGGCAGGTCAACACCAGCCATGCGGCACGACACTTCAAGCTGACGCACCTTATTGTCGAGCGCGTCTGCTACTCTTCCGCGCGCTCTCTCGTTGGGCGCCAGAGGACGTACGCGCACTGCCACCTAAAACGGAATAACTGCCGTAAAAAGCAAGGCGCGATGATCTGAGGCGGGGGCAGAGACGGAAAACACGGCCGAGAGGGTGACGTCACTCCGACTTGGATACACACACGAGTGCCGTCGCATAGTTTGGCCCTGTGCGTGTATGAAATACCGTGCGCATGTATCCGAATATGCAACGAATGATTAGGCTCGATGCACTTTATTTTCCGGCATGGATATTTGGCATATCAGGCCAACACTAATCTGTGCGAGCGGCGTCAACATCACGCACTCGCTGGAGGTAAAGGCAGCAATCTGCATTCCCACGCCCGGACGTCCCGTCACCTCCAGCTGTGACGGCGCCACCATTCTGGGGATATCGCCGCGTGCTTACACTGTCGACCACTGCAATACACTGCGGCTCCTGATTAGCAGACCTGATTTTTTTCGGTAACGGACGATCCATGAGATCCCAGAATTGCGCTCCATCAGTCACAGGACTCCAAATACCAACACTCGCTAACTCCGCAACGGTCAAGGTGCTTTGCTCAGTTGGTTGACGAGTATCAATAACCACTGAAGAGTATCAATGATCAGGCTTGTGCTTGACTTTGTTTGGCTCGATTTGATCCTGTATCCGATTCAAAGTAAACGGAGCTAAATCTGAATATCGTCCAAAGCGATTGCTAGCACTTGAAATTGAATCCAAATTAAAACCTCGGACGGTTAGATTGCTTAGTCTTATTGGAATTATGGTTCAAAGTCGAGACTAGGTTTTTCAGATGTTACAGCTGGTACATAGGTGAGGTATTAAATTTGGTTGCATGTTTGAATGCCTAGTGCGTGACTTATTTTAGTCAGATATATGGACGATTGGCGGTGGCGTATTGACTGCAGCTCTCTTGTATACGGAAGTGTTCAAGATGACTGGAGCTGACATTAAAACCTTAGGTGTGACTTACACTACGACGAGCAGGCACGCTGGAATGTCAAGTCAAGCACCCTTGTGAATGTGTTAAACGTCACACTTTTTCTTACGACGTCAATTGCTTCTGATGTATGTCCAACGTACATTCCACGCGCTCAAAAAGTGTTACGTTAACAGAACATCACATCTCCAAGAAAAGCTGTTTAATAAATAGCGACATTGTGTTCCAAGGTAGATACAGATATCAACAGAAAATTGGCGATGGACGCAGCTCATGACACTTAATTACCAATGACCGTACCTAGAAGTCACACGTTTCAGAAGTTACAATAGTGTGAAAAACAAATGCGCGTAACCACGGAAGTAGCTGGATTCTCATGATACGGCATGGCACCAGAATCATTTGCCTGTAACTTTCATGGCACTACTTAAAGAGAGTGTTCCACATTTGTGTGGGGTTTTAAACTGAAATAGCCATCCTGAAAATCGTTTGGTGCGGCTCACAGCCCTGCCCTCCTTTAACGGAATGCTCCACATTTGAAGATTTCAAAGCAAGCATTAGATATCATGAAAAAGCTCACTTATAACTTCACATATCTTAAATAGAAAAGGCTGCTATAGACAACACACTTCCTCCGCTTAGCAAATACGCTCCTTGATGCGCCATTGTGTGCTTATTTCATTGTCCATGCACACTAGAGATTAAGAGCCAAATGACGGCCGCTTTATCCGAAAGTCGAGCTCACGAACGCCAGATATGAACGGATTGACGATTATGTTTTCATTGGCCTTGATCGCCGTATAACCAACGGAAAGATACCACTCGAATGACGTTATTTTCGCGGCATGGATGCCTGGGTGAACGTGCATAGTCTCCTTGAAATGGTATGCACCCCTTCGTGGGCGTGTCGCTCAGAGACTAAAATGGTGTTTAGGTCTTAAGGACAGGCTTGTGAACTCTGCCAAATGATCTTCAAGATTGCTATTTATGTTCAAACCCCCCAACAAATGTGGAACACTCCCTTTTATATATCAAATCCTCCAGTTTCTGAGCTACACACCCACGAAGATGTGCACACCATATGCGTAGGCTATCTCAAGTTTACTCAGACATGACTGGCGGCACAAAAACTTGAATAAAAGTTTCAACCCGATTGGCCACGCGGCGTTCAAGGCCAAGAAGAATGTATGTCGTAATGTCGTGTCGTTTATGTCTGTTGTTCGCGAGCACAATTTCTAGGTCTCCATATTTAACGGACTTCAATTGGTTATCGATCAAGGTCGTGCAGCCAGTGCAAAATTTAAACACAATTCACATGTTGTTCTACATAATGCATCATACAAGAAGCTGGACATCGGTGCCAGATATTACGCAAACAAGACTTGTAATCGAATCGCCTAGCCGGGCTGGACACGAATAGCGCCATAACCGAGCATGTGAGTGCGAGTAAATACCTTCAACTCGTGGACAAATATGCAAAAACACCACGAGAAAGGGCCAAATCGCGAAGACCATAACGACATTTGTTTCGGCAAACATGTCCCGGATCGCCAATGCAATATCTAGGCGGGTTGAATTACCACAAGCTACGGTGACAATTTTACACGGCCAGTTTGGCAGCACCTCTAACATCATACAGACGATCTACGACGCAATGAAACAATGAATATTGAGGAATATATTGACTAGATAAGAAATTATGCCGTCTAGAGCAGTCTTTTTCACTTAGAAGCGTACCAGTAGTTATAAGTGAGCTTATTTCATCAGATATGAAGCTTGTTTTAATCCCATCAAATGTAAAATGTGCCCTTGAAAGTTGAGTATCATTTATGCGCTGAGATTTAAACCAAGTCAGCGTTAATGCCGTCCCTAGCACGGCCCCCAAAAGGTGCCAGGAGGCAGCCCCTACCCCATCCCTATGCTCGTTAACATAACAATGTCAATGTCCACCACTGTTTTCCCATAATTCATATATCAAGGCACAAACAAACGCTCAAATCTCCCACACGCTTAGAAGCACTGTCCATCCAGACCAAATCGGAAATTGACATAACAGCTCACGGCCTCAAAGCTAACGGACAGAAATAGAATAGAAGTTAAGGATTAGGTTGATCGTTTCGACATTAATGAAAGCATGAATCCCTTCACGAAAAAATCAACTATAGTTACGTTAAATGGTTTATTAACGGATTAATGATTTCACGGATTCGTGCCCACCCATGCTAATGCATTCGTTGGCGTATTCAAATGCTGGCCTCTGGACTCAGCGCTGGTTCTTGTATGTGTACGTGGAGTTGTCACCAGAATACTTTGTGCAACGCGAGACGGGCGAGATGGCAATATACGTCAGAGTTTACATTTTTTATCATGCAGACCATGCAGAACCTAAGCAAATAGGCCAAACACATCTGGGGACGCATACCAATGCGTATATTAAACACGTTGGTCTGTCTTTAATGCAATTTTTCCAGGCAGAAGTTCACCGATGACAAGGACTGGTAATTGACTGAACATGGGATTTGAGCTGGCCAGGCGTTTCAGCTGACACAATCGATGCATTTGAAATTTTAATAGGGCTTTTGTGACTGTTGCCAAGGTATTGCGGAGAATTACATTGGCCCACACGCCTATATACTATTCGTGACCTGATTTGTCTGGCCTTAGGCCACAATCGGTGCTTTCGAGTCCAGCTTCGGAAACGAGGATGTTGTCCGCTTGTCGGTCGGTTGCTTGTGCATGTATCAATCGGAAGTGCTGAGATCGTTCTATGCGTTATAGACAGTACTCTTCATTGTGATGCGTTGCCGGCTTTACACGTTATCTACTTTTTTGAAGACGTCTTGCATAATCTCTTAAAAACGCCATTAAAACAACGGTTTACGTGCGAGGGCGCGTTACCGGGTGTGCGGTAAACCAAACGTTTGCCATTGCGATTAGGCATTCCCTCACCAGTCGAAATGTGCTGGTCTCATGTATGTGCGATACCAGTTTCGCGTGACCTCTCTACTCGTCTCTTCTACTCTATACTCGTCTCTACTCTCTGCTCACTTATCAAGATCTGTGCGTGCCGCTCAGGCCCGGATTACGCAGCTCTTTCGCAGCGGAGAAATATTACGTTTTTACTGTTAATGGAACTGGCGAGGTTATCGTAGTTCGAACTTCAGCCTTGTGATGTCTTTGTCCATCGGTTCGGCTCAGCTCGGTCAGAGAGAGACGTGTGGCGATGCAGCGATCTGTATTGGACCGAGTGCCAGAGGCGTACTGCCCCTGCTATCCCAGGGGGGCGCGACACTATATTCAGTCAGGTTAAACAACCACTAATAAGTCAGCTTACACTGGGCTAGCACACACGCACCTATCACGCGTCCGGTACGGTCCGCAACGGGACGGCGGTCGGCGCCCGAGGTGGTGGTTCGAATTCCACCGTGCGGCATAGGCCGCGCCGCGACACGGCAGGGACGGCATGCTGTGCCGCCGGGCCGGCTGAGCGCGCTCACAAGCATCGCGGCAAAATCAAGTCGGATCGAACAGTTTCCGAGCCAATGCTGGAGTATCTATGCAGCACCGCTCAAAGATAATTGTGTAGCTCTTGTTGCAGAACCTTGTGTAAAGCTGCGGTCAGTGGTTGGGGAGACATCAGCTTCTAGAAAGTATAACGGCACGGAAATGCGAATCCCAATTCACACCAACCGCTCCGGACGTAACTAAGAATGAAGCTGCGTGAAAGCATGCAGCCGCACGCTCAAGGTATGATGGATTACACAGGACGACATAAGTGCAGCGTGACGTCAGCCGCACTTTTAAGATAAAGTGGACTAAACAGGACAGCATATGTGCAGCGTGACGTCAGCCGCCCTTTTAAGATAAAGTGGACTAAACAGGACAGCATATGCGCAGTGTGACGTCAGCCGCACTTTTAAGATAAAGTGGACTAAACAGGACAGCATATGTACAGCGTGACGTCAGCCGCACTTTTAAGATAACGTGGACTAAACAGGACAGCATATGTGCAGCGTGACGTCAGCCGCACTCTTAAGATAAAGTGGGCTAAACAGGACGGCATATGCGCAGCGTGACGTCAGCCGCACTCTTAAGATAAAGTGGACTAAACAAGACAGCATATGTGCAGCGTGACGTCAGCCGCACTTTTAAGATAAAGTGGACTTAACAGGACAGCATATGTGCAGCGTGACGTCAGCCGCACTCTTAAGATAAAGTGGATTAAACAGGACGGCGTATGTGCAGCCTGACGTTAGGAAGAACGCATGCCGCTCGGCCCGTTTTAGCCGTTAACTGGAGGACAGTCAGCACACAATTTTGTGTGACTTCACTTTGAGTCTACAGTACACTTGAAAACGTCTTTGAAATCTGCGACACGAAATAACAAGTTACAAGCATGTGGCTGGACCCGGTCTCAGTTATAAACTATGTGATGTGCTGTGCTGCGTCGTGCTGTGCCGTGTTGTCCTGAGTGCTGATCAAGAGTGCTGTGGTCAGGCCAGGCAAGAGTTGGCCACGCGTAGCACTTTGAGAAAATAGATCGAATATTCGTACTGTGGCTTTGCAACTGCATCAATTTGGCTGCGTTGGCATATCAACACTTCGCCGGTCAAAAAACAAACAACAAAGCTATCAACGGCACGTTACCACATTTGCACATTCCAAAATTAGATTGCTGGGGAGCAGCAAATGCTGAAAGGAATGCTTGCTAAGAAGGAGGGATGCCCAAACGTATAGTTTCATGAACAACGGTGTCAACGCTGTCGCGGCAACAGCGGCCTCTATTGGTACTAACATCCTTTTACACACTGTGCATGTGGAACACCATCATCGGTGGGTTTTCCACAAGAGGTTTTCAGTTTTCTCAAACCCGGCTTATGCACTTCACTTATTCCTATACTACACATGATTACAACCCCGGTCGTTACAGTTATAGACGGTGTCCCACCTTGCCTGAAGTGCATACCAAACAAATTAAAAAGATACAGATGCATTCTACCCGTCCAATTTCTTCACCACATCATGTTCTACGTCATGCGGACAAAGCCGAGATATTCCTCCAGACTGGAGAAGTCTCTTGCTATTAGATCCACTGCCTCATTCAGCATTGGACAAGCTCATACAATTTCTCACGCCTGGCCAACAGCCCCACAAACAGGCTCAAATAGTGTCTCGAGGGACATCAGAACGCCATCAGGCTCAGACTCCATATCGGGCACCAGCTCAGACAGCGTCTCATCCAGTACCGAAGAGCGACCACAAAGCCATGAGCCTTACTCACCGTCAGTCGGGAGCTGGCCGAGCCGTCAGCGGCCGGCTGGGCCGGGTCCCGGCGCCCCTGAGCACCCATTGCGCCGCCGCCCCCGCGCGCACAGCCCGCACCCGTGCCCGCGCCGCCACTGACTGCCGCCGCTGATGCAGCCGGCGACGACCGCGACGCCGCAGCGGTAACGTGGCAACTGGGCGACACAAACAGGCGCGGCGAATCGGCGGAGCGGCGGCGGCGGCGCGACCTGGAACGGCCATCACTTATTCAGCGGCTGAAGGTCGCGACCGAGCCGCTGACGCACCCCGGGCGGCGCAGCCTGACCCGGGGACGCACCTCTGGCGGTCAGGAGCGGACGGACTGACCCCGAGGACGCGCCTCTAGCGGGCGGGGGCGGCGCAGCCTGACCCGGGGACGCACCTCTAGCGGTCAGGAGCGGACAGACTGACCCCAAGGACGCGCCTCCAGCGGGCGGGGGCGGACTTTTGACCCGGGGACGCGCCTCAGGCCGGCAGGTTGACCGAGTGGATGCGCCCCGGGCGGGCAGGGGCGGACAGGCTAGCCCAGGTAGCTAGGCTAGCTCGGGTAGCAGGTGGTCTCATGGGCTGACGGAAAGCGCGTTTGCTTGCTTTTAAAGGAGGGGGGACGGGAAGATATTTGGCGTTGCTTGAATGTCCGTAGTTCAAAATGATATAATTTGGATGATTAACGACAGATGTCACGTATATGGGCGAAACGCTAGCAGTAGGTACCTATCGTATTTGCCCCAACAGGGCAGGTGAAGTCATTTTGAAGTACCCATGTTTTGGACCAGGGATCCAGCAATATCAGATCCGTAGTTCGTATCGTATCTATAGCGCTCACATTTGTAGTTGTCAAAACTGCAGCATCTCACTTGGCTCATTCTTCGTACCTACCAAATCCACAGATCAATCACTCCCGTCAGTGTACTTTACCGCACAACTCTCGGACCCGTACTCAACCCAACTTTTAAGAAAACTAATTGCATCTCAGCTTCAACAAAACGGAACACATTCCAAACAAACTCCGCTTTCGACCTAAACGCTAAGTACAACCCTGTCTGTCAGACGGTACTGCACTGTGTGCACACAGTATGGCAACTGTGATAGTTCCCATAATTCTATCAGACAAACCGTCCGGAGACTTACGGCTCCAACATGCATTGGGCTGTGGAAAATCTGGAAATTACGCGACGGATAATTGACACTCCGCAGTATCCCACAACCAAGTCAGCCAAACCTGATTCGAGGCGCCATTCGTATTTCTTCTGTTGAGCCGAGTGGTGCGGTTGCCCGGCGAGCGTGCGCCGCGTGGAGCAAGCGTCGTATAATCATCATTGTTGTAAGGACATATTTTGCAACGTGACGCAACTGACGTCCTGTACCGGGTCGTGAGCGGCAACAATGTCGTTAACGCAAGATAGTGTATGATTTGGATCGTGTCGTAAAGGCCTGGCCGTCGGCCGAGGTCAACACACTGCCTGTTATTATGGATGTGATTTATAAATGAAGCAGCTTGCAGTCCAGTTGTCACAGGACCCAATGCGATTAGCCCGAAACCGCTCCGAGCCACTGACTGAACTGAATAACCAGCCAGTCGCCCGGAGCCCTTCGAGGGCGGGCTTCGATACGACAGGAAGTGACTCCCACCAGCCTGGTCAGCAAACGTAGGATTCCCTGTCAATCGAGCTTCCGCCAAATCGTTGACGCTCAGGTCGTTTCTTACACCTGAATGCAAATGCTAGCGCGAAGAAATCAAAATAAAATTCCAAAAGGGTTAAGTCACACGCTAGCTCGGGCGATAGACCTCAAACCTGTCGACTCAGCGACTCTGTGATGACGTGCGGCAGCCGGTGTACGGCTGCGTCAGTAACGCCGATAGGTCCGATCAACATACACCATTCGCGGCATATCGATGCTACTGCCGTCCCCACGCATGTCGTGGCAGGGATTAACCGTCCTCTGAAAAGAATCCGGCAGTCCGCAGAAGTCGTTCGACAGTAAGACAGTACGTAAAAGAGTGATTTATGCGCTGCATACCCAGTGTTTACACGCGTCAGGTTTCAAACAGGCGCCCTCTAATGGTTCGGTAACACTCGTGCCCGTTGCACGGTCTCGGAGCAGGCACACAACTTCAACATACTGCCGGCCAGGAAAGGACACCACATTTCAGACTAGTCACTTTCATCTACGACCACGCGGGGGCCAAGCAGCGTATCGTTAACAGCGGACATGGCCCTAAGCACGGCACGCAAATTTGGAAAGTTCGACCCACAACACGCGGACGTCTGGACGACTAATATCACCCGTCATTTAAGCACTGCCTTTTTTGTGTTCCAACGAAATCACGAGTAAAATCACTGAGGAGAAAATGTGACACGAAAGTGACTAAAATGAGGATGAACACCTCCACAGTAGGCCTCAATGCGCAAGATCAGTAGTCACAATATAGGTCTTCAGCTTATGCACCGCAAAGTCCAAAATAATCAGCTGCAGTCGCGATATGCACGTGCGGATATCCAGCTTACAGACAGAAAAAAACACTGCGCCAATAAAATACGCGGAGCTTGAGCAGCTTGTCGGGGTCGCGCCACGTATGGACAAAGGCCCATTTTTACCCAAGGCGCAGTGGTCTATTGTGATGAATTTTGGCGATCGTGCCCTTATATTGAGGGTGGGGAGGGGATGGGACACAGAACTGAGAGCCTAGGTCCCTCCAGAGATGCAAATCCCCGCATATCGCCGACATGCACCGCTTTTGGGAGAGCCGCTTGAAGGGCATTCAACATACTTGATCCGGCACCACGTGGACCAAATATGTCAGCCACATTCGAGGCATCTCGCCGGAGGCGGGACGTCTTAGGGGTGTATGTTAGTGAAACAGCACAGCAATTTAACTGTCTTCATCGTGAAGTAATTTGAAAACAACGCCATCGGCCATTTAAACAGAATGGCAGAAGCCTTGAAAAACGCCGCTACCTCACAAATTAACACTTAACCACGCGCTCACATCAAAGGGGAACACATGGGCAAATATGAGCGCGCGAATTTTCTCCACGTCACTACAAGCACGCTACACGAGTACAACCGATACGGCATGGGCAAACAACGAACCGAATCCAATCTCGTAATGGCACTTAAAACCAGGCGAGCGTTCACAATAAAACCACAACACAGCGCGTTATACAAGCGCCACAACAAACGCAAGTCGCTGGCTACTGGCATACACTTGGGAACAATCACTGTTCCCATTTTCAACTACAGACGGTCCCACAAGAGATCCGACTGAATACTGCATCAACACAGACCATTCCGTAATACAGTATTGCACGTGGGTCATGAGCAAGCTCTTCCCTCCTGCGGCGCCAAGAGCCATCTGGCAGCCCGCAGCCATCTGCATCTGGCAGTCATCTGGCAGCCGGCGACCCACACCCGAAGACGCGACGCCATCACAGACAGCGCGGCTGCCGCGCGCACCGGCCGCTTCCGCCACCGCGTGCCGACTGTCCGCAGCGGCAAGGTCCAAGCGAAGACAGGAAGCCACTGGAGCCGCCGAGGATGGCTGGAAGACGCCCAGGAGACACTGCGGACGGCCGCGGAGTGGCGGAAGAATGGTGGCGAGGGAGTGGTGGCGAGGGAGTGGTGGCGGAAGAGCGGAGGCGGAAGAGTGGTGGCGAAGAAGTGGTGACAGTGCCGACACGCAGCCGGCACCGGCCAGGGCCGCGGCAAGCCACGGCGTCATCCAGAAGGCACGTCGGCGTACTCCGGCTCGCGGCGCCGTGGCGACCGGTCGGCGCCGGGACCGTCGGCGTACCGTGCCCCGAGACTGGCGCCGCCCTGCCGCCAGCTCGAGGCGCGGCCGAGCGGCGCCGGGACCGTCGGCGTACCGTGCCCCGAGACTGGTGCCGCCCTGCCGCCAGCTCGAGGTGCGGCCGAGCGGCGCCGGGACCGTCGGCGTACCCCCTGAGACTGGCGCCGCCCTGCCGCCAGCTCGAGGCGCGGCCGAGCGGCGCCGGGACCGTCGGCGTACCCCCTGAGACTGGCACCGCCCTGCCGCCAGCTCGAGGCGCGCCGAGCGGCGCCGGGACCGTCGGCGTACCCCCTGAGACTGGCGCCGCCCTGCCGCCAGCTCGAGGCGCGGCCGAGCGGCGCCGGGACCGTCGGCGTACCCCCTGAGACTGGCGCCGCCCTGCCGCCAGCTCGAGGCGCGGCCGAGCGGCGCCGGGACCGTCGGCGTACCCCCTGAGACTGGCACCGCCCTGCCGCCAGCTCGAGACGCGGCCGAGCGGCGCCGGGACCGTCGGCGTACCCCCTGAGACTGGCACTGCCCTGCCGCCAGCTCGAGACGCGGCCGACGCCCGCTGGGGTCGGTGCAGCGCCCACTCGGCGCCGCTACAAGATCTCCTTGTGCGCCAGCTGCTCCAGCCACGAGCCGGCGTGACGGAGGATGCGCAGCACGAGCGCGTGCGAGCCGATGACGCCCAGCCCGGCCACCAGGAACGAGACGGCCTCAAACAGCACCTTGGGCGCGAAGATCTTCCACACCATCAGGTGGCGACGCAGCACGGCCGCCGCCAGGCAGCACATCAGCAGCTGCGGAACACGGCGGAGGCTCAGTATACACAGACAACGCAGCGGCAAAAGGACACGGATCAGTGCCCAACGCACAGCACCGCACTCTCTGACGAGAACAGCAGCAGTGCGTAATACATAGGCACGGACCGAGCTGGAGGAAAGCGGTGGGGCGACGGCATGCCTTATTACCTTGCTTTGTTTTGTCCTATGGCTGCGTGAACAACGAGGCGCGGTTAGAGCGTAACAGCGCACTGGGCGCGCCCCACATCACCCTCGCCTTTCTCCGCGCGGCACTTACTATGGGTCGAGCGCGATGCTTATTTAATGTCGTGTTCAGTGTGCATGTATTATCGAAGTGCCGTGTTCACGTGCAATGTGGCACCATAAACGTCGGGGCCGTATATCCAGCATCGTCTACAAGCACCCTTTACTAAGGCACATTCATGGAAGGGCTACTTGTTGATAGTGGATTGCTGCTACTACTGCGACGTAATGTAAACACGCCCCTGGTTACAACACTGCTGTGCTGTAAGCGGTTCACCACACATCTGGTAAAGCAATCTTACTTAACGGCTCAAACGCCTTTGAAGCATCATATTGCGGGGCTATACTAGTCAAGTACTATGCCAGAATGTAACAATTATGCTAAGTGGTGAGCCATGGTGCATTACTCGCAAGACCGTGGGTTCGCGAAGCCACGAGTCGCGAGTCCTTTGGCTGGCTTTGCAACAAACATCCCCAGCAATGTAGCAGGTCCAACAAACACCCAAAAACGGCCAGAAAAGCAACCGGTCGAAATCTACTGTGCACCAGAAAACCACTGATGAGGACAACAGTCCGAATAAATTTGTCATTTGAGCCGACAACTCGTCTTAAATAGATGCAATAGATCTATAGCATGCCACGGTCACGCAAGCCTCGGAAAGATCGTTTGTGGTTTATGATGTACACGAAAACGGCATTCGGCAACTTGTTGGACGAAAAAACAATGGTTCAACCATCGCACAAAGTTGGACGACATTACGCCAACGAAAGGTCACCGCACACAACATTCAAACTCGGCTCATCATAGGAACTGATCATCACGCGGCGCCTTATAAGGCATAGTTGACCACACACTTTTACAACTCATTTTTTTCGAAGCTAACATTTTAGATATTGGATGCAGCCCTGTTAAATGATTTGCATTCTTCCTCACTAATAAGTCTGTCAAAGTACAAACAAAAGCAAATGCTCCCTCCAAAACATGTCATCTATTCGGGTTGGAGAGGATCACACACAAAAAAGCTCTTTAATGCCTTGCATTCTGGCGCCGTCCACATTATCTTTAGTAATATTCACTGTAACTGCCGAGCTGTCGTGCCTCTTGTCTGCCCATATTTTAAGTCGGCCGACCACTCGGCAGGGAACACGGGACCCGCCATGACGTGAGCCCGCTGCCGCCGCGCGACCGGGGTCCCGCCCCTGACGTCAGCCGGCCGCCGCCGGACGGCCGAGGTCCCACCCCTGACGTCAGGAGGCCGCCGCCGGACGGCCGGGGTCCCACCCCTGACGTCAGTCAGCCGCCGCCAGACGGTCGAGGTCCCACCCCTGACGTCAGCCAGCTGCCGCCGCGCGGCCGGGGTCCCACCTCTCCCGTCAGTCAGCCGCCGCCGGACGGCCGAGGCCCCACCCCTGACGTCAGCCGGCCGCCGCCGGACGGCCGAGGTCCCACCCCGCCGGTCTCGCTCTCTCACAGATCGCGTCACCAGCGTCCTCTGCGACTGTCCGTCACTCACCTTGACCGCCTTGGCCGTGAGGTAGAGCACGTTGAGCGCGAGCAGGCGGCGTGCAGTGCCGTTCGGATCGAGCAGCAGGTTCAGCTCGCCGCGCCAGGAGACGCCGCGCTCGCGCACCGCCTGGCCGACAGCGCGCGGTGTGTTCACTCGCGTCCGCCGCACGCCGCTCCCGAACGCACAACAAAAGCCATTTGAAAGCTGGCGGCTGGCGGAGCTGGCACAGCTCAGGACATGTCGCATGCATTCATACTGGACGAACTTTGTGGCAAAGACCACAAGGTGTAAACTATCCCGCTTTGCACGATGCCACCTGCTGGTCCAGGACAACAGCTCTGAAAAGGAGCGATTAGCCTGCGCACGGACCCCTGTGACGGCGGACCGCTGACAAACACAGCGCAGCTCACTGGGCCGTCCAGCGTGAACCATATCGCTGTGCATGCCAGCGGCGTCCGGGGCTTTCACCAGGGTTTCACTAGCGGCGGAACCGCATTAGGGCGTCTGCGGCGCATTTATCTTCTACATAATCAAGGGAGCCCACAAAGTTCAGCCAGCCAGGTCTCAAAACAAATCGCAGCTTGTGGCGCGCACACAATGCCAGACACCCACAAGCTATGGACAACATTGACCGCAGGCCCCCCGCGGCACACAGCGCGAACATTAGGGCATGGCGGAAGACTATGTCGGAGAGACAGAAAGCACCGAACCACCAGACGGTGGGGTCGAAGTGAATGTGGTAGCAGGGCATAGGAAGCGGAAACGGGAAAGAAATCCGGCTAGCATGTGGGGGACGGTGTGGCAGAAAGGGAATACCACGCGGAGGTGCACAGAACAGCGGAGGCGACGTAGGGGTAAGAGAGGACAAGGCGCAAAATGCAGGGTGACAGGGGACGGTCTTACAGAGGGTGTTACGACAGAATTCGGCCCGACAGAGAGTAGCGTTGCAGAACGAGACGCAACACAGGGTGGTGTAATAGAGGATAGTTTGCCAGAAAACCGAACATGATAAGGTGGAGCGCGAGTGGGCCGTGTTACGGAGCGTCTGGTACGACAGAAGGGCAGGAGACAGCAGCGTAGCAGACGGGTAGCAGAGCAGGCACTAACGGAAGGTCGCGTAACCGACAACGGGCACGCAGAGCGTGGCGCGAGATGATCCCACAGCGGTGGAGCAGCGGGCTGTGTAACTGGGTCCGATGTGACGAAAGGGTATAACGGAGTGGTGTAGCAAGGTGCAGGGCAAAAGACGGTTGAATCACAGACGGCACAGTCAAATAGGGCGGATAAAAAACGTGGAGCACCAAGGGACGAGCGGCAGATGATGCGATCACAGAAATCGGCGTAACTCACAGCGGGATCGCCGACGGTAACACAGAGCGGGGTAATGGCGTGAAGGGTAGTAGCACGCGGTGCAGGGGTGGGATCACAGACAGCGGTGCAACAGAGCACGGCACAACATGGTACGGTGCAGCAGAGCAGGGTGCGGTGGGGTACAGTGTAACACAATACGGTCCAACAAGGTGCGGAGTAACACAACGCGGTGCGACAGAGTATGGTGTAGCACAATACGGTGCAACAGAGTATGGCGTAGCGCAACACAGTGCAACAGATTACGGCGCAACAGGGTACGGTGTAACAGAGTATGGCGTAACACAATACGGTGCAACAGAGTGCAGTGCAACAGAGTACGGTACAATAGAGGACGGAGCGACAGGGAGCAGTGTACCAAAATGATGTGCGACAGAGATCAGGGTAACACAGATCGGGGTCACAGAGATTAGCGTAACAGACGTCGAGGCAACAGAACAGAGATCGTGATCCCAAAGATTAGGGTAACAGAGATTAGGGTAACATAGATCATGGTAACTGAGCTCAGGGTAACAGAGATCAGGGTAGCATAGATCAGGGTGATAGATATCAGGGTGACAAACATCAGGGTAACAGATATCAGGATAACAGAGATCAGGGTAACAGAGGTCAACATAACAGAGATCAGGTTGACAAAGATCTGTTGCAACGCAGCCCGGTGTAAAAAGACACAGGGGCCTCACGGCACACCGAGGTGGCACCAGGCTGGGCAGAGGCGCTGGTCAGCCTAGGTGGCGGCAGCCGGCGCGGACGCGGGTGCGGCGCACCTGGACCAGGTGGGGCGCGCAGAGCAGCAGCGGCAGCGCGGCGGCCGCCACCAGCTCCGAGGCGAACGTGGCCAGCAGCACGCAGAGGCCGGGCAACAGGAGCCCAGTGGGCATCATATGCAGACCGGCTACGGCCGCGTCCCATTGGATGGACGGGAACGTCGCCTGGTGGCCGGTACTGAAGAACTGGAACGAGGCCAGTTCGGCCCAGAGAACGGCTGCCGCCCAGTCGCTGCCTGCCGGCGAACACAGAACTGGGTCACCGCTCGCCAGAAAACACGGGCCTTGGCTTTGATTGCTCCCCGGCGAACAAAGAGAAGGATCATTGCCTGCCAGTGAAACAGCTGCCACCCGCCCACGGACGGGGCGGGTGGCAATGTCCTGACAGAGGTGAGATGCGGGCACCCATGTGGCCGGTGCGAACACGGTGCCCAGAAAAGCATGTGCTGAGTAAGTCGCACAACGCGACTGCTATGACATAAAGATGTGTAAATGACGAAATCTATAGCATTGTCACATGCCTGAACTAGTTGCTTTATAGGTTTTGTGCTGAATGAGTTTCCCCGTAAATTCGAGTTGTTCGCATTGCAACGTTACTGGAGAGCCTGTGCAACACCAGCTCAAGCACACCGCCAGCGTCGACAGCGGGCCAAGCAGCGCAGGCCCGCCCACAGACGGGTGCCTGTCAGCAAGGCACCACGAACGGCCAGCTGGATGGCAATCGATGCCGAGCAGCCCACCGCGAGCGCACGCAACGGCCACCTCTCCTCCCCCCCCCCCCCTCCCCCCCCCCCCCGACGACCACGTCACCGTAAGGACGGCCCGGGACGGCAGCCAATATCGAGCAACTCAGCCGGTGCGATGATTATGACTCACGTCCAAGCAATGAGCGTCCGCTTAGTGACGGCACGCGACGCCGTCCCTCCCCTCCTCCCCCCCCCCCCCTCCCGCCCCCGCCCAATAGCGCCGCAACACCAGCAAACATCCCCCACCGCGTCACTATGATTATCTTTCTGAATAAGTATTCATTGGTCCTGGCGAGGTGTACTGATAATTATTTTCCCTAGACTAATGAAAGAAGAACGATACCGGCGTAGCTTTCCGCAAATAAAGGTACGAATTCATGCTACTGAAAAAAAATACACGAGAGATTGGCATTCTGCTCTTTACTTTCATACGTACAGGCTGGCTTTTATCTTTACCTGCGAAAGCATGACTGCCACATACATACATGGACAGCAGTCGTCCACGCAAAGTCATGAGATAAGCCACATGTGATCTGCTGTATTACAGCACAGAGACGACCGCCCACAGAGGGCCAACACTGACCTGCGGTTCCGTCGAAGCCCACCACCGCGGCAGCTAGCGCCATCAGGGCCAGACCAAGCGCGGCGGCCGGCGCGCGGCCGTCGCCCAGCAGCAACACCAGCGGCGTCCAGCAGGCCAGCAGCGCGGTTAGCAGGGCAGCACTGACGGCCGAGCCCAGCCCGTAGACGCGCAGCTCGCTGGCGGCGCCACTCAGTTGGTGACGCAGCCGGCGAAAGACGCGGGCCACCAGCCGGCCGCCAGCCAGCTCTGGCTGTACCAACACCAGCAGTGGCCGCCACAGCAGCACCAGCAGAGCGCAGCTGGACGCGCCCAGCGCCAGCAGCTCCGGCAGCTGGCGCTGGCCGGGCGTCAGCAGCGCGGCGGAGCTGGGGTGGATGGCCTGCAGCGCCCAGCTGCCGAGCAGGCCAGCAGCCGAGAGCCAGCCGCACCAGCGTGCCACCAGCTCTGTTGCTGAGAAACCATTCAGGTTGCCGCAGTGGCGCAGAAAGGCGCGGTGCGCGAACAGCACGGCCACGAGGCTGGCCGCGGCCACAGCTAGCCGGCCGTTGCGCTCAGCGCCGTCCTGCAGGCTGGCCAGCGGTCGGTGCGCCACGCCCAGCTCACACCACCACTGCTCCTCGCGGCAGGCGAAGCCGGCGCGGCCGATCCGGAGCAGCACGCTGCCGGCGACAGCCGCCGCCAGACGCGGCAACAGGCGGGCGGCGCCGCCTGGCGAGTCGCCTCCGCCGCCCGCGGGCAGCAGCTGCACGGCGAACATACTGGTTGCCAGGAAGCCGCTCACGGCATCCTCGCAGACGGTGAAGCTGTTGGAGAAGAAGGCGGTACCGTGCACCAGCAGGACGAAACTGGCGGCGAGGCCGCGGGGCCCTGGCCGCGGCCAGCCACGCCGCCGCGCCAGCGCCACCAGCGAGCTTCGCAGCCGCAGCGCGCCGGCGCCCACCGTGGCAGCCACGGCGGCGGCGGCCAGCAGCAGCGCTGCGGCCGGCGGCGCGGCGCCCAGCTGCCAGGCCAGCGCCAGCAGCGGCGCGGCCAGCAGCGGCGTGCTCATGAGCGCGCGGCGCAGCGCGGCAGCCAGCGCGTCGGTCGGCAGCTGCGCGGCCAGCAGCGCGAAGGCGGCGGAGAGCGCGGCCGAGAGGGCGAGCAGCACCACGCCGGCCGTCATCAGGCCCGTGTCGAAGGTGGCCCAGACGCGCGCGCAGCGGAGCCGCGCCTCGTCCAGGTACTGCAGCGCGTCGGCCGGCTCGGGCCGCGGCGCCGGCGGCGGCGGCGGCGGCGGCGAGCCGAGCCGCGCCAGGTACGCCGCCACCTGACGCACGTTGGCGGCGAGCGCCGGCCGCCGCAGAGCCGCGGGCAGCAGCTCGGCGCGCACCGTGCCCAAGTTGGAGAAGGGGATGGGAAGGCCGAGCAGGGCCGATAGTGTTGGCACCAGGTCCACCTGTGGGATGGCGGCGGGCCGCGGCGCCGCCGGCAGCGGGCGGCCCGACACCACCAGCAGGCCGGCGTCCAGTTCGGCCGCGCTGTCGCCGCCGTGGTCGCCTGCCGGCGGTGTGCACACGCGTCACGTGGAGACACGCTGGCGTCGTGCTCCCAGCGACAGTGCCTGGGCCGTGCAGACACGTCCAATGACCGACCGAGCACGATGTTCTGTGTCCCAGTGCGCATACCATAGGTGGATGACCAGAACTGTGACAGAGACTGACGAAGTTCGGACCTGAGAGCCGCAAAGACGCTAAAGTCAGCTGGCGTCTTTGCTGCCGGGACCATGTCATATATACGTCAGCGAATGCTACCAGGACCATATCGTTGGGCCGGGGGGGGGGGGGGGGACGCCAGGCGCCACGATCACTGGTCCTTGGAGCTCCCGTATTGCTGCTATCATTAGGCGCCCACAGACCCGTTGGACACGACCAACCGACGGAGCTTATTTGACCCACCTGTTCGCCAACTGGCGGAGCTTACTTGAACCAGCTGTTCGTCAACTGACGGAGCTTACTTGATCCACCTGTTCGCCAACTGACGGAGCTTACTTGACCCACCTGTTCGCCAACTGACGGAGCTTACTTGGCCCACCTGTTCGCCAACTGACGGAGCTTACTTGACCCACCTGTTCGCGTCATCCCGTGGTCGCCGAGCACGAAAAGAATAGTGTCATTGTCTAGTTGATGGGTGATGTTCCTGAAACCACATAGTCCATCTTACTCACAGCGTGGAAACTTTCTGCAGCCGATGCTTCTCGGCCAAACATGATTTACCCATCACCGTCCACGTGGCCGTCCATAGCGCCAGCGCTCCAAAACCCTCACACACATCCCACCACATCCTTCAATGGGGTCGCTCCGGATCAGCAAAACGAAAACTCGACCAGCTCTGTCAGCGCCCAGGGTAGTGCGACACGACAAATCGCTCGGGAGGCATTTCAAGCCGTTTGTGAAGGGCCGCAGCCCATATCTACCGGACGACGCGGCCTGCTGTCAGCGCCCCGATAACACGATCTCAACCCGACACGTCTGCCTCGGATCTCCTCATTTTTCCGGCTTCAACGCGACTGCAAGCAAGCCACTTTGGCAGAAGGCTGGCAGTTGGCATGCCGTGGGCGGAGCGCCCGGCGCTGTCCGGCCGCCTCCAGGCGCCGACTCACCTGACCAGCGCGTCCACCTGGGCCAACTTGCGCGCCATCTGCGGATGGTCGGGCCCAAACGTGTGGCCGCAATGGTCGACGCCGAGCATGTGGCCGATGAACATGGTCCAGTCGTGACGCGCGAGCTCACGGCCCAGCTGGCGCTCCACGCCGCTGTCCACCGTGTCCAGGTCACGGATGTCGAACGACGGAAACGGCGCGGCGCGCTCGAACGCCGTCGGAAACAGCTGCAGCCACGTGTCGTCGCCGGCGAACACGGCGCGCCCGCCGGCGGCGCGCAGCTGCCACAGCCACGTGTCTTCGGTGACCACGTAGCTGGCGAAGTTGTCGCCGACGTCGACAAAGGTCGGCAGCGAGCCGGTGGTCAGCCCCTTCAGTCGCTGCATGGTGGTGGTGGGCGGGTCGGCGACGAACCGGTAGCGTGCCACGTGCTCGGGCCGCCCGGTCAGCAGCGCGTGCACCGCCGGCATCTTGTTTTGGTAGGGCGCCGCCGCCGCCGCCGGCAGCGACTCATTGAACACGAGGAAATCGTACCGCAGCGCGTCCACAACCAGCAGGATGGTGCGGTTGTAGGTGCGCGCAACGGCACAGGGCTCTGTGCCGCCGACCGGGCACGTCTGGCGCTCCTGCAACGCCACGCGCCGCAACAGGAAGCCGCTGAGGAACACGTACAGCCCCACCGCCAGAACGAAGAACACGTAGACGAGCACGGGCAGCGTGGCTGTGCCATGACGCATACTTGTCTGCTGAAATCTGCAACACAGAGGTATTCTCAGACGCTGTAGCTCCGCTGACATCCGTGTGGCGCCTGAGAACAGTGTTTAGGAATACAGGATAAGATAGGACTGACCCAGATGTGCTGGTGAACCATGCCGACCAGAAGCGCAATAGTTGGCTGTCAACGATTTTATGTCACGGTTTGTGTTAACGTAACGTAACGTAGGCTAGTTGGGTGTGCAGAGGCAATAAGCTTGCCATCACTTAGTGCCTCAATGTTCATACAGTTATTTGGTCATAATTGCTGCTGTGCACAATCACGTTTAGGGGTATAACTTTTTACTGGAAACAAATCTGGGCTCTCAACATTTGATTTTTTGGAGAAAAATTGGGCTAAATGCTTGTGCGGGTGGCATGAGGCACAGGTTAGCTACATGCAAAGCAGACATTGCTGCCGGCACTCTCGGAAAGAGATCTGTATTTTGTCGCACAACGCTGCTCTGCGTCGGCTCTGCGCCAACCAATCCTTTGTTACCAACCAGGTGACGCGGCAGCGTTGCTGCACGCTCGGGCCAAGTGGGTTGCCTTTTTGTGAGATTCGTAATCAGGGCCCCTGTATCCAGGACTCGGACAAAAGGGCCTTGCGGGGCTTAGCTGTTTAGGATACTCGAGCACAAGGTTGAGAGTTTTGCCGGACATTTTTTACTCTTCCATTTGAAGGCATTTATGCATGAAGGTTTCATCCCTCAGGCAGAAAGTTTTTGAGTCCTGATTATTTCGTTTTCAAGATTGCCAGATTTGCATGGGGAAATAGCAAAAAGACAAGACAGTAGCATTATTTATATATTTTATATTCAACAATATTCAACAATAACAGCACTGGACCACCTGTCTGTAATATTGGGGGAGATGCAAGTGAAATAAATAAGGAAGAAGTTGAACTACCAAGAGCAGCCATGAAAAGGTGAGTAAAGGTGATTGGTGCAGTGTGTGGTTACTTTCCCCAGCAAATTTATAGTACCACTCTATAGTATTTAATATATTAATAGTAACATAATTGATATATAGTAATATATAATTAATAGCAACACTATAAGTCAACACTCAAAATAAGAGGAAAGAAATTCAAATGAACTAGAAATGGAAAGAAGTGCTTAATGCACATATGGGATAGATGATGGTAATACTGGAGCAGAATCAGCACTTCCAACACCCCTTTGTACGTAGTGTGTCAGCAGTAAGCCAGAGTTAGTGTGTGGTCAGAAGTAAAAGGTTAAGGAAGAAAACTTTCCCGTGAGTCCGAACATCGAACGCACCGCCAACACGCGTGACGTCAAACATTACAGCTGACAAGCGTGCTGACGACAGATCGAATGGGGCCGTACTCGCCAACGCAAGAACAACCAAAGCAAACTCCTGCTTTGCCAATGAGTTTTTAACCTGGTAGCAACTTCTCTACAAGCTGATGGGCTGACAAACAAATCCTAGCATCGTCAGCTGGTGCGTGATGTCACAGGCCACGTGACCTTGTGGTCACGTGACGTGACGTAGGCAGAATACTGGGCCGTGATTGGTGCTGACAATCGTGCCGACGACGCATCAAACATGGCCCATGCATATTTTCGCGCAGCTACACCACACTGTTTATAAACCATTCCAGAACAAACTTTGGGGAAGGTCAAATTGACCTCCACCAGAGTATGTGTTAGCTCTACGGAAATTTCATGGCAGGGCAGAGATCACATTTTGTTGCAGTCTAAGAAGCTACATCACTGAGCAATTCCAAAGCACTTGGGCAATAACCAAAAACTAGACCAGTAAACAAAAAGTGTGGTGTGCAATTAAAGCATGCAAAATGCAGCAGACAGAACATGTAATGGCAAACATGGTATCTGTGAGATAATTATTAGAAGCCTTTTAAATAAAAAATAGAATTAATAATTTTGAACTTTCACTTGTTATGATCTCCTCATGTCTAGCCCCAAGAAAGTTGGGGAGCCAAACTTGCCACTGGAGGAGTGGCAAGTTGGACATTAGGGGCCAGTGGCCCATTCAAAAGAATACAAATCAACACCTGTGTCCATAGTTATTGCAATAAAATGCTGGGATTATCATAAATGTCCAGCTTACCTAAAATAGTTGACCATTCCAGGTGCCATGTTATATCCATCTTTAAATCTATTATACCCATCAGGCTAATGGCCTAATAATATTTATAATACCCCACAATATCTCCATTTACATGCTGTACATGAAAGCAAATGACGCTGTGAATTATAATATGAAGCAATGTTGTCCAATTTGTAAGCAAGAGATTTTGGATGACTGAGTAAAGCAGCATAATATTTCAGGCAGTTTGCGCAGAAGCAAATAGGGAAACAGACAGTCAGCAATGCTGTTCTCATGAACTGCTCCTCCCATTGAAAAGCCTGGGGGCCTTGACTCCTGCACCTACCCTGACCCACTCTCCTGTTCCCAGACCTGGTGCCAGCACTCGTTCATTCAAGATGTGGCAGGGAGCTGATCATGCTCTTGTTGGTGATAACTAAGCAGTGTTTCCAGGAAAACACCATCTTATGGCACACACAATTTGATACAGACTTCTGAAGTAATGCAAATAGTGCTGCTCACATCTCTTGCTTGTGAACCCAGCATTCCATGACCATTATTCCTACACCCTCAACCAAGCATAAAATCGTTAATTGTTGGCACCCTCAATTTTGATTACCCAGACCTGTCTTGTACCACCTGGCACACATATTTCCACACCATGGTGGATGAGAGGGGATATACCATAATTCACTGAAAATGGTATAATATTAGCTATCTTACCACTCGAAGATGCCCCTTCTGACAGCATAGCAATGCAGCACTAAATTTTCAACGAGTGGAGAAAACAGGTACCAAAATACCCACCTGATCAATTCAGCCAATTTTCATGGCAAGATGCTTGACGAAAAAACACCCATATAATTTCTGGAACACTTCACAAAAACTAATCGCGGCAACCCGGCACCCACCGCCCTGGACAAACCTAGTCTGGCAAGCATCCACGAAAGGCTCCGTCCACGAACGATAAAAACGCTTAAGTACGATAACGGCGCATTCGGGACAAAAGGGAGAAGGAAGCCACTACGTCCCGAGAATATTTAGTACGAATTATACTAAAAGGGAAAGATGTTTTAGTACCGATTCGTACTAAAACCTGCGGAGTAAAGTACACATAGGTACTAAACAGCACAGCCAGGTAACACGACTTTCAACAGAAGAAATGAATGCAAAAATATATGTATATATCTATATATATGTATATATATATAGATATATAGATATATAGATATATAGCTATATAGATATATATGTATATATATATATATATATATATATATATATATATATATATATATATATATATATATATATATATATAGACATATGTATGTATATATACAGGTGTAAATATATGCCGTTTATTAAATATCTTAAAATTTAATGACCGGAATGCAAGGATGTTTTTGGAAGGGGGGACCAAACCCTAGTGGGCCCACAACGGAATCCCACAACGGAATCCTAGATCCGCCCCTGGAACCAACTCGCAATCAAATGGGAATTGGGATCCAAAAATGGTGAACGTTTCCCACTCCCATCAAACGAAAAGATATTCGCGAGGTTCACATCCAAACAGCCTCATTTCTTCTGTTGAAAGTCGTGTTATCTGGCTGCGCTGTTTAGTACTCGGCGTATATACGACTGCTGCTCTGAGGCCAAGGGATCAAGGGTAATAGGAACAGAGCCTGGCCGATCATAAGCACTCTGCGAGGCCAACAAAGAGGCTCCCGTTAACAAGTATAGGGTCCTCGGGGCAAGTGAAAAGAACCTAAGACCAGCGTGGTGGGCCCCTAAACGATCGGTATTGCCCCGGTAGGCTGACATATACGGTCCCGGCCGGAGCACAGGACCGTCTGAGCGAAGGGGCATTATGCAAGACCATGACTTGACACCCTTGTACGATCAAAAGTGCCTGGGCAAGTTAACAAAAAGAGGCCGATGGAAGTGAGGACACCTCCGCAAATGAAATAGCCCTAGATCAAAGAAGACGGGCCCTGAGCATCGAGTGTCTCGGTCCTTACCTCATATGAGCCCCAGCAACAGCACAAGGTCCTCCGAGCGAATGGCAAGAAACCAAGACAAATCTGAAGGCCTCCTGAGCAGCTGGGTGTACCCTGACATATGAGGCCCCGGAAAAAGCGTATAGAGCCTTTCGGGCGGATGGGAAGAATCGGTGCCATATGGCCTCAACAGCTGAGTGCGCCGTAAAGCCCCCCCCCCCCCCCCCCCCTGGAAGAATCGGTGGGGTGCCCCTGATCGATCAAGAGTGCCCAGGAATTAAAGCAGATAGTGTCCCAACAGCAGCGTTGAGATTATGTACGGAAAATGGAAACAATAAAGAGATCAAGGGTAACGTAGGAAAGCTTCTTGGCGATCACATTGACCAGGTAAGTGGACAAAAATGGCCCGAGCAACAGCGTGAGGTCTCCTGAAAACATAATGTGCCCCACCATTTGCTGCAATCGCCATGCTTTCAATCCGTAAAGGCCTAAATTTGGTTGCTAATAAACTCTTTACTTTCGTTTGCAACCGTTCTATGTCGTCTGTAGGCCCAAACATGTCCAATTTTGTTGTGTTTTTGTTAGAAAATTGTGCCATCCAACCGGTTATTGGCCACTACGAAGCCTGTGGGTCCCCTCTGCATGGTCCATGGGGTATGGTCCGGTGCTTCCCCCCCCCCCCCTCCCCCACTCTCTATCCCCTAACGGCCCGGGCAGCTTAATAGGTGGGGACCGCCAAGAACTTAGGGCGATCCATTCAAGCAAGAAGCACTCAAGACAACATAGAGGGCCCCGGAGTGATCGAGTGCGCCACAGCAGGTTAACAGGTAGGGCTCCTATCAAGAGCGTGGGAACTTCCGTTCAAATATGAAAAACCCGCTACACGATATAGAGGGTTCCGAATGATCGAGTGTGCCAGAGTAGGTTAACAGATGGGCCCCCTCAAGAGTGTAGGGCCCTCCATCCAAATAGGAGGCACCTAAGACCCGGTGTCGAGGTCCCCCAACGATCCAATGTATTCAAGCAGCTTATCAAAAGGGGCCCCGACAGGAGCAGAAGGCCCTACATTCAAATAAGAAGTACCCAAAACCCAGTGCGGAGAGCCCCCGAAAGATGAAGGGTACACGAGCATGTTATCAGATGGCCCCGATAGAAGTGTAGGGTTTTGAATTCAAACACCAAGACCCAATGTGCAAGGCCCTCGAACATCCAGTGTCGCCGAGGAGGTGAACAGACGGGGCCCCCGACAAACGCGTAGCGCCGTCCAGTAACAAATGAAGCACCTAAGACCCAATATAGAGGGCCCCCGAACGATCGAACATACTCGAGCGGGTGATCAAACAAGCCCCCGACAAGAGCGTATTCATATAAAAAGTACCCAAGACACATTGTGGAGAACCCGCAAAGGATCGAATGTACCCGAGCAGGCTATCAGATAGCCCCCGACAGGAGCATAGGGCCCTACATTAAAATACCCAATGTGCAGGACCTCCAAACAATCCAGCGTGCTCGCGCAAGTTAACAGATGGGACTCCAACAAGTGTGTAGGGCCCTCTGTTGAAATAGAAAGCACCCAAGACCCAATTTGGTGTGCCCCGAACGACCGATGTGCCCAAGGAGATTAACAGATGGGCGACCGACAAGAGTGAACGGCCCTTATCAAGTGGCAGAGAATTGGAAGCGCCTTAGACCAAGGGAGAGGGCCCGTGAGCATATCGTGAGTGTGTCGATAGGTTAACCGAAACGGACATAAAGGGCGCCTGAGCAACCGAGAATACCCCGGTAGGTTAACATATGGGGCCTCCGCTACAGAGCCTTTCCGGCGAGTAGAGAGAATTTGTGAAAGACCCCTGATTGCCAAGAGCGCCCCGGCACAATTGCAGGAAAAGCCCAGCAATAGCGCAAGGCCACCGAGCAAATGCTAAACATCAAAGGCAAAGTGGAGGGCTGCTTAAAGATTAGAAAGACCCCCAATTTGTCATACAGGTCTCCCAGAAATGGCATAGGCCCCCTGGACGGCATAATAAAGCTTAAAGTTCCCAAATAACAGTTTTCAATCTTTGAAGTTTTGCTTTTGTTCACTCGTGATCCCTTTACTTTCGTTTGTCACTGCTCTTGGTTGCCTGCAAGTCCAAAGACAGCTATTTTTGTTGCATTTTGTGTTGAAAAACCCGCACCTGTTCGGCCGACTGCAGGCCCCTTCAGAGCCAATCGCCCCTTCGGGGCCAAGGGGGGGGGGGCATGGCCCCCCTCTGGATCCGCTTCTGGTTGCTCATAGGACGCAACCAGGTCGGTCGGTTGGTGGTCAGTGTGAAGCACGAGAAAGTGATTAGGAAGCGTGCCTGGAGAAACTCTTACACCCAATTTACAGAACAGCGTTTTCCACCAGATGAGTATGATATTCATATATCCAAGACTACAGGGCCTTGGGGGAGATGTCGTCCTCCGGGTAGCCCGGATGATGGAATATGGTTGTTGGGCTGTAGTGGTTTGCATCAGGCATGGTTTTGACCCAGATTCTTTGAGTCGGCTCAGGAATGACTCACATAGTTTGGGATCTGATTCAGCACATGACCCATGGCTGCTCCAGTTTTTACTTGCCTCAGTTCAGACGCAGTCTCTGAATTGAATCATTTGGCTCATGACCCATGCAGGTTGTAAAAGGAAATGGTTCCTCGCTGAGATTTGGGAAATTCCAGGATCAACAATATGGTGTTAACCGCTTAGAAAAAAACAAAACAATAATAAATTCCTGGGTTGCTAAAGGCTTTATAAGTAATGTGGCATGCTTTTCATTTGTTCATTTTAACGCTCTGAGATTGTATCCTAATTTGCATAGGACGCATTGCACGTCCTCATGCCGCCAATTTAAGTTCAGCCAAATGACGCACTGACGCAACATTGTTAAAAATGATTGGCTTATAACTCAGCTCATGAAATGCATGACAAATGTGATTCAGGTCATGACTCAAAGCAGCGACTTTCCTAGTGAGCAGATACAGCTTTTAACTCGCCCAAAATGATTGACTCATGAGCTGATTCACAATTTAGCGTGGGTCAAACGCAGGTATAGTTAGCATGTGCATACATGCATAGGGGTAGGCACGTTTCAAAAAGTGGGGGCCAAGCTCAGAGCGTACTTCAGGAACTTTCTCTGGAAAGCAGGCCCAATTGCTGGGGGGGGGGGGGGGGAGATGGAAGAAGTTGTCGTTCTTTCTTTAAATGTCATGACTGCTATGCTAGACATGCATCTAGAGCTGTTTCTCACTGGTGCATAATCTTGCCTATTCGACTCATCTATGTCATTCGGCAAATCAGGCTATCCGGCTTCCCTGGGGAGTCGAAATTCTACGAGTGGGTAGACATTTTGAGTCATTGAGGAGGCATCTGCCTCCACAGGGTATATGCCAAAACATGGCCTGGACATAGGCTGGTGGGAATTTTGAAAGTGAGTCGATGGCTCATAGTGCGAGATTTTTCATACGCCTTCATTTCACTGACTGCTTCTCAGGAGACAAGACTAGTCGCAGCATTTTGAGCGGAAAAAATCCGTAAGATTTAAACCGCTGAAAACTTGGTGACAAAAACCATAAAACTGGGCATTCTCCGGTAAAAGTTCGGGTCAGCTGTCATCACTGAAAGCAGTACTGTCAAAAACCTTGGTGTGGTGATGGACAGAAATCTCACATTTGAACCGCACATTGATCACCTTGTTGCCAGGTCGGCGGGCGCTCTGATGACCCTGTCCCATGCCAAGCATGTACTCCCAAGAGACACCCTCGTTCACATTGTCGGAGCTCTAGTTCTTTCCTCCATTAGATATTGTATAGCACTGTATGGTACTCACAAAGCCACCCAGTTCCATCGCGTGCAAAAACTCCTGAACTTCTGTGCGCGGGTTGTGAGCGGAAGGAGAAGGTGTGACC